ATATTCTTATAAAATGTATTTAAATTTTCAAACTACTTTTTCTCATTAATTTTAAATTTTAAGAAAAAAATTAGCAAGCACCCGTGTAATACACGGGTGTTGTACTAGTTAGGATTACACAAGAAAAAAATAGTACAATTACAAAAAAATAAAACAAATAAATAAAATATAAAAACAAAAAGAAAAATAGTTAATAAATAATTATTTAAAAAAATATTATAAAAAAAAAGCAGCATGCGCTGCACTTCAGGATTAACATCGGGGGGCCGTTTAAACACCCTTTTTAACGAACCAATGTAGTTGCTCTAACATCTTATTAGAATATGTGATGTATTTTACTCAAGTGTTGTATTAGGGTTGTATTATTGAAGAGTTGTTAGTAGCCTAAATAGCACTTTTACCTTTATTCCTCTAGCCATATATAAAGGCTACGTACACAATATATTGTTTTTTTTTTGTTGGTAGCCAACCACGGTATTCGGAACTATGCCCCGATTAATCCGTTGATCGACCCAGATTGACGATGATAGGTGAGTTCCCAATAAGGGTTTTTCTGCATCCACAAGAATTCGAACATTGGATTCATTGTCACATTTTTACTTTCTCTCTCTTGTGTGCCGATCCCTTTACCTCTCTCTCTCTCGCAAATACATCTCTTGTAAGCCATATATCACAACATTCTTCCTCTGCAATTTCTTGTTTAAACAGGTAATTTATTCATGAAAAGAAAATATATATATGTATATATTTTTTATTATTGAATAATGCATTGCATTTCACATGTTTTATCCCCTGATTTATTTTCCATTTTTTTTAATTTATTATCATATTTGTGATAGTTTTGATCCATTATATTGTCGATAAAAACGATATCCTGATCTCTTTTTCCAGATGCAATTTATTAATTAGGTGCATTTTATCATATGGCCATTCATATTTGTATTTGATTTTTTTATTAATTAGGCAATTTTTATTGCAATTACTTTTTTTTTTTTTTTGTGCAGAATCCCAATATTAAGATTTTATTAATTAATCAGAATGGATCCAACAAGGGGAGGACAAGGAGGAATTCAGATGCTTCTTACAGCTGAACAAGAGGCTCAACAAATTGTCACATCTGCAAGAAATTGTACACATCTTATTATTAATTTGATTTGATCGAATTTGATCTGTCCGAGTTCTGCTCGAGTTCGATTTAGAAATTTAATTAAAAATAAAATGTCTAGTTATGGAATTTTTTTAGCTAATATTACATATATTTGAGCAGCTCGTCGAGCACCCGAGCGTATAAACTACGTGATCGAGCTCGACTCTGGCTCAGTTAAACTCGAGCTCGAGTCGAGCATTGACTCAAACGCTTGCAAGCTACTCGATTCATTTGCACCCTACTTACGACCATACACTGGGCAAATTTAATTTATTAACTCACATGTTTGAAATTTTAGTGAAGATGACAAGGCTAAAGCAGGCCAAAGAAGAAGCAGATAAGGAAGCTGCAAATTTCAGAGCCCATATGGAAGCTGAGTACAAAAAGAGTATCTCTGAGGTTTAATTTATCACTTATATTCATAAAAAAATTAAAATTAAAATAAAATAAAATCATATGTGAAGTTATTTAGCTTATTACGTGTAAATTATTTTTCTTCTCATATCTTCAAACCCAACAAATTCTTGATTTTTCTCTTACACAGAAAATCGAAGTATACGTGTAAGTTAATCAAATTCGTCAATTTATTTTCTTCACAATGTAGTCTAGCGGAAGCTCGGGCTCGACTGTGAAGAGGCTCGAGGCTGAAACCGATGCAAAAATCGAGAGCTTGAAGGCAACATCCTCAAAAGTGTCCCCTGAAGTTGTGCATATGCTTTGCAAATTCATCATAAGTGTTAAAAACTGAAATGTGTGCAAGTTGATTCTGAATTTTTCATGATTTTAATAATTTGTACTCGATGAACATGGATTTTTTTCTCAGGCAATAAATTGTTGTTACTGTTGTGTTTCAAACTGCAAACAATCAACTTTAGCTTAATTCTGGTAATGTTATGTTTCGAGACAGTATTTATTATTTACATTGTCGTACTCTTGTTAAATTTTGGGACATATTTGGGCCCAATGTATTAGTTTCATCAGTTTGTGTTCAGGGCTCAAACCCAAAGGCCAAGTAGTTTATGAACAGTATCAATAAACAAAGGCCCGTACAGAAAAGCCCAAACAAGCACTTAATTAACTTATTAATTGAATTAAATAAAGAGTTCGCGCTAGACTTGTTAATTTGTGCTCTTGATACTCTGTGTTCAAGCTCGAGCCGTAATGGAGCCGAGCTAAACCCATCATCTAATTGAGTCGATAAACTAGTTTGAGTTAGACGAGTTACTTTACACTCTTGATACTCGAGTTTTAAACTCTAGCCATAATCGAGTCGAGCTTAGCTTGTTAAATAAGTGACTATTTAAATTAGTTCGAGCTATATTAGTTAATTCGTACACTTTGATTCTCGTGTTCAAGATCGAAGCATTATCGAGTCGAGCACAACTCTTTAATTGATTAAACCGATAAACCCATTCGAGCTACACAAATTAACTTACACTATTGATAATACATGCGAAGCTCGAGCCATAATCAAGGCGAACTCAAGTCGTTAAATAATTGAGATAAACCAGTTCGAACTAGACTAACTAACCGCACTCTTGGTATTTGAGTTCAAGCTCGAGTCATAATCGAGTCGAGATTAGCTCGATACATTAGTTCAAGTTAGACCAACTAACCCGCACTCTTGGCATTTGATTTCAAGCTTCAGTCGTAATGAGTCGAGCTCGGTTCGTTAACTAATTCAAACGATATAAACTAATTTGAGATAGATTGAGACTTGAGAGACTCGATGTTTGAGTTAAAGCTCGAGTTGAGTTTGGCTCGTTAAAACACCGATTCCTTTATTATTATTATTTATTATATACAAAACTTCCACACAGGAAAATCTCAATTTCACTAAGGTTTCCCTGTTTTGAAGTAACCTTTCTGATCCTCTCCTAACCAACCTGAGCTCAGCTTCAGATGAGATCGTGATTTATCCATTTCAAGCAGAAGAATGTCTGAAACAACGTCGCAGAGTGTACCGCCGGCGAAGGATTTGATCGGCTCATACTTTGTCGATCTCTGGAGCCACACTTCCCAAACCCTAGCTCTGAACCCCGAGAATGAGCCCGAAGCCGAGGAGGACGAGGCGGAGGAGTCCCCGACGGCGCTGGATACGGTGAACAGCTCCGGCGGATTCTCCGTGGTGGGGCCCGACAAGCTGTCGCTCTTGTACCCGAGCGTGAATATGCATGGGCACGACGTCGGAGTGGTGCAAGCGAATCGAGCCGCGCCGTCGAAGCAGCTGCTATATTATTTTGAGATTTATGTGAAGAATGCGGGTGCGAAGGGGCAGATTTCAATCGGATTTACCACGGCTGGTTTCAAGCTTCGCCGTCAACCGGGGTATGCTCTCAATTTTGCAGCTTGTTTTGTGTAGTTGGGCTTTATGCCTTTTTTTTTTAATCTCTTTTATCCATGCTGTTCTTATGAATTGTGATTGGGCTTCTTGAGGTGGAATTGATGGCTAGGGATTTTATTTTGGGTTGTTTTATTTTCGTGTTCAAATCAAATTGAAGACCATATACATCGTAACTGAAGGTTACTTGGAATTGGGTGTTAGATTATGGTAGAGTGATAAAAAGTTCTGTTTTGAAAGTGCATAAAGTTTGTTTTGGTTGTGAAGGCACATTTATTTTTTCATTTTATCTTGGCTTGAATTTGTAATTCGAACTGTTAGCTGAGCACAACCAGGCCCAATCACCTTGAATGGGAATTTTTACCGAAGTAAGGACGAAAGAATAGTATGGGAGAATAATAAAACAAGCATGCATGTATCAGTACTGGTCCTCTTTTACACATGTAAGCTAAGATTCGCCGTAGCCGGAGCTGACAATATCTAATTTCACCAACTGTCCTCTTTAATTGATCACGGAAGTTAATAAAATTGTACTACATTTTCTATCCTATCAAATATAACCCCACTGTCTTAAACATAAGCGTCTGCTAACATTTAATTGAATGTGTTACCCTGATTAAATACATTGTCGTCGCTTCAAATGGGGCCGTGATGATCTGGTCTTCCAATTTTTTACTTTCATAGAACGGATAGTGGTTGTATCTGATTCTTTTGCTCTGTTATATATTACTCATCATTTGTGGGAATCCTGGTTTCTGCATACTTGTGAATTACTATTTAGTCATATTTTGTCTGTTTGTTTTATTGTTTTTCTTTTGATTCTGTGACTTCGTTAATGCTATAAATGGTTCCATATATTTTAATTTTTTCTAAGATTTGAAATGTAATATAATGACGAAACCAAATTTTGTTTGATGCTAGGACCAAGTCAATCATACTATTTCATAAATCTAGAAATATTTTGGGTATGCTGAATGTAGGCTCACCAAAATAAACACTGTAGGCATCTGTGAGAATCTCAATGTAACTGCTGGCGGGTCTTAGAAATTAAGATTTTATCTTATACATTGTTCGAATCTTTGGGCTGTGTGACTCATTACAGCTGCCAGGTTTTAATTGCTATTACTGGATTTTGATGTCTTTTCTTTACGCTTCTATATCCGGCAGCTGGGAAGCAAACAGTTATGGATATCATGGTGATGATGGGCTGCTTTACCGTGGACATGGAAAGGGAGAGACATTTGGCCCGACATACACTACTGGTGATACAGTCGGTGGTGGAATCAACTATGCCACTCAAGAATTCTTTTTCACGTAAGATAGTTTAGGTTTGCATTTTGACTGTACAATCTAATAGGGGTTTCAAGCGATGAGGTTAAACTTTGACGATATCTTTTTCTAACTAATTGCTAGAACTATGATAGCACTTCCTGCAATCTTATCGATTTGCATGTCTATTTCTTCTTTCATCTATACCTAAAATTTCTTGTTATTTGTACCTTATCAGGAAAAATGGGGTCATAGTAGGCTCTGTATTTAAGGATGTCAAGGGTCCATTGTTTCCTACCGTTGCTGTTCACAGCCAAAATGAGGAGTATGTATATTATGTCTCTCATTTGATATTGTAATATAATACATGAACGGAGTGGGTTACGTCTTGTCTCCCTTTACAGTGAAATAGTCATTTTCACTTTCATGGTCTAATGCCTATTATTTTGTTACAGGGTGACTGTAAACTTTGGGAAGGATCCATTTGTCTTTGATATTAAAGTAAGTTTTACTGCTCATTCATTGCTACTGACTTGTTTAATCACTTTCTGCTTAAGTTATGTTACATGAAACACATTCCTATATCTGGATTTCGGACTTGTGGTGTAGATTATTATTATTATTATTATTATTATTATTATTATTATTATTATTATTATTATTATTATTATTATTATTATTATTATTATTTAATAGGTGTCTTCGAGAATAAGTTAGGAATTTAGTATTAATGTTTAATATTTAGTAAGATATTTTGTCTTGTTGGACAATTAAGGTCTAGGGTTAGGAGCCTTATTTAAAGGGCTTTTCTGCTTTGTTATGAGGGAGTTGATTACTGAAATGAAATAAGATTAGATATTGTGAGTTTTGCGTGTTTTACCGTTTACTCGTCCCACTCGTACGCTTCCCTACATCAACTTGTCTTCAATTGCAAAGTCGGGCAGCCTCGTGAAGTTGAGATAGAGACAGTTATTGATTGCCTCTATTCGGTCTATTTGCCCATCCGCCTTTTCATTTCTTCGACTTGATGATTTCACTAATCATACCCTGGTTGATAGTTATATGTTTTTGTGAACTTTCTTGTAGATCTATTATTTTGTCCTTGGTATTTTTTATTTACTGATATCTGATGGCTGTTGTCTCTAATTATTCAGGCATATGAAGCAGAGCAAAGAGCTAAACAGCAGTTAAAAATTGATAATATCTGCTTACCTCAGGATGCTAGTTACGGGTTAGTCCAGAAGCTATCCAGTGTCCTTACACATTAAATATGATTGTATTGGCATGCATTTGCATTAATGACTCTGCAAGTATGGGAAATTCTTTATTATTTCTCATGGTTTAGCTGGTTGTTCTCATTTTATCGCTGTCCGCATATTAATGCCTCATACAGAGCTGAAAGCAATGTTGGCATTCTACACTGCCTTTATGTCAGCAGTGCTGACTCTTATCTGAATAATTAACACCAGTGCGTGAATTTTATCTTTATATTCATATTCAATCACTTGAGTCTTTGGTCGGCTACAAGTAAATCTTTCATATTGACTTCATATTTCATCTTCCAGAATAGTGCGGTCGTATTTACAGCATTATGGATATGAAGAGACTCTTAAGTTACTTGACATTGCTGCTAGTAGCACGGTGCCACCCATTTCTTTAGCTCAAGAAAATGGTTCTAATGAGGAAGATAGTGCATATGCATTGAACCACCGAAGGACCCTTCGTGAGGTATGAGCTGAAGCTTGTTTGTAATTTCACCGTCATTTTTTATCATTTAAGCTCTCAGTTAAACTTGGGGTTTGGCTTTCCATCCACTCTTTACTCTTACTTATTATTTTTTATAATCAGTTACTGACTCTCTGCACATATTTCTTGATTAATGATTTTCTTTGGTCACGTAGCTGATAAAGTCGGGTAACATTGATGAGGCATTTTCTACACTTCGCAAGATGTATCCTCAAGTTGTTCAGGTAGAGGATGTATGAAAGATTTCACTTTAGAATTGTCTACGTAGTCAGCCTTTTGACATTTGAATTGAATTTATTTATTTTTATCTTTCAATAATGATAAGAGTCTATTATATGAATTACTCAACTTTATTATGCCGAGCACTATGAATACGACCATGAGATTTCAGGACCTGTCAACTCTGTGGCTGATAATCCTGCTGTCAACCAAAATATTTTTTGCAGTTTCAAGTACTTTGTTTCGAAATGTTACTGAATCATATGTGCAGTTAGCGTGGTAAATGTTCATTTATTCATCCCACGATTTGTTGTCCTACTCTTTGCAGGATGATACATCAGCTATTTGCTTCTTGCTGCAGTGTCAAAAATTTATTGAACTTGTCCGGGTGATTATATCTTTCTTCTGTGATGAATAATGCTGGATAGGTTTTCAGTGGAATGTCGTAATTATTAACTGTCTTATATTTACTGAAGGATGGAAAGCTTGAAGAAGCTGTAAACTATGGTAGAAGTGAATTTGACAAGTTCACAAATTTGTCAGGGTCTATTGACCTAGTTAAGGTATACTTCGAGAATACTCTCATCTTTCATTTGAAGTCGTGTCATCGAGGATAACTTTTGCTGTCTTTAGCATGGATCACACAAGCATTTTAGTCACTGATTTAAATAGGAACCTGTTAAAGCAGAATGTTATCTGGTGGATCTAGGGTTAATTACAAAAACCACCATTGTTTGTGAAAAACCAAGTAATTGAAAATTATAAACTTGAATAATTGAAAAGCCCTAAGAAAAATTAAAAAGAATAAGAAAACCAAAAAAAAAATAAAAAAATTATGAACTTGAAAACGATGAAAAAAAAAAAGATTAATTTTTTTTTTCTTTCATTATTTGCTACTCTTTTATTTTTGTTTGTTTAGTTGTGACCGTCTTGAGTATAACTCGTGTACATTACATAGTAAATAAATCATTTGACGATTTTCCTTGTCCTAACCAGGAATGTGCCTCCTTGCTGGCATTCGAACAATCAAGCAAATCGCCCGTCGGTTACCTTTTCAGAGAGTCTCAACGGGAGCTAGTGGCAGATGCCGTGAATGCCATGATTTTATCCACTAACCCAAATGTGAAAGACATTAGCCTGTGCAAGCATTCGTGCCTCGAGAGGCTAATTAAACAGGTAAATGCTTGCTCCTTGGAAAAGAGGTCCTTGAATGGAGATCAAGGAGAGGCTTTTCGGTTGAGCCAGATTCTGAACAGTGGTAAGAAAGGTTGAACAAGGAAAACTCAGACGACTTACTTCTCAGTGCATATCTCTTTTTTCTTCTGCCGGGCCTCTTTCAGTACACAATGTGGGATAACTCTTCGAGTTTTATTTATTTTGCGAGAGATAAAAATTGGATAAACGAATGGGGGATGAGATACTGTACTCTCATGTGGGGATTGGGTTTTGTCGGCCGAGCCAAAATTTCTGGAAGTTGTGCTTGTACAGTTTGGATTATGTTATGTGCTTTGGATGTACATTGAGCTTTTGTGTTGTAGATTGGATATGGATCTGAGTTGAATTATGGCACAGTTACTTGTTATTTCTACTTTTTAGGTCAATGGTGTTCTAATTCTTCTGGCTTCACCTGCTTTCTGTTTCTGGTTGCTGTTTTTTAAAAGAAATGAATAAGAGTATGATTCACACTCCAAAGAATATTATAAGTTCTACAGTTTTAAAACACCTACATTACAAGATGGTTTACCCTTATTATTATCATGATCATCTCTCCCTATGTATAAATAAAGATTTTTTTTTTTTAGCAATTTATCTATGTATATTAAACCTTTAATATTATACAATATTTAACTACTTAAACTATAAAGATATTTTAAAAGCTTATTCTTTTGTATTTATTATCAATTTTTTGGTATATGATATATATTATCAACAGATTGTGAAAAAAAATGTTGCATCTCAATGTAGATCATGTAGTTATTATTTCTTTTTTATTTTATTTATTTCAATTATGGCATGATATTATAATTTTATTATTTTATTTGTTTTTTGGGTAAATTTCATTATTTGTAATCTTTTTTCCATCAAAATCTCATGCCAACGTTGGTGGAATGAAAAACCGAAATACAAGGATGGACAAATCTCCGGCCACCATTTTTCATACCGGCCGGCACAAATTGCGCTTGTTATCTTCCTCACATTTTCTTCCTATATTTTTCCCCCTTTTAATTCTCTTTTTTTCATTCCCTCCTGTTTTTCGTTGCATCAGATTCCGCCTCCAGAATCCAGAGCCTCGAATTCTGGAGACGTGGGCTCTGGTGAAAATCGCTGCAGTGCCATATTCTATGTGATCCACTTTCTTCAATCCTCTCCGACGCCGCCGCCGCCGCCGCTTGTGGGCCGTACTCTCTTTCTCTCTCTCGGACGGTGACGTAAAGGTACAGTGTGTTTGATGTGTACATACAGCATACTGTTGTTTGAGACTTTTGATTTTGTTGAATATACGCACACAACTTGTTTGATGATTGGCGCAAGAGAATATTTTTATACATTGAACTATGTGTGGTGATTGTTCTTCTTGTTATCCATTAGAAATGTTTCAAATCAATATCATTATATAGCTCCGATCAAAAAGTTGTCAACTTTTCGTTTAAAACTCTGTAACAAAACAATTTTCCACATTCTATACACCGCATGCTTTTTCTAACTCTACATAATCTGATCAATCAATCTCACGTTCTTACAAACAGGCGGGCCCACATTTCTAGAAAATGGGCACCACAAATGGCTCGTCAAACCTCAAAGCCTTTGAAGATCACGAAGGGAAACACAGCCCGTTTTCCCCTTCCTCACTACCTGATTCCTCGCACGATGTTAAAGCCAATGAGGACAGCTTAAATTCGTCCGAGAGCTTACTCATAGAAGAGCAGCCCTCGTGGCTCGATGACCTCCTTAACGAGACAGAGACTGTTATCTTTGACAGAGGCCATCGTCGGGCGGCGAGCGACTCTTACGCATATTTGGGGAACTTGGCTGACGAGGCTTTCAGCTTCGAGGATGAGTCGAAGTACATCGACTCATTGTTCGGGCCATGTAATTCGATGCCCTTCAGGAATGTGGGCCTTAGTGAGGCCAGACGGGGTTTGTCGTTGGCCCAGAAGAATAATCAGGTATTTTTGTTTTATTCTATTCTATTTTATTTTACTTTTGTGTGTGTGTGTGGATGGAAATGAATGTGCTGATTCGGAAGCTGTTGACGTTTTCACCTATTCACGATAAAAGGTAGGTAGTATTCAAAATTACGGATGTCCATTGAAGGTTTGTGTTTTCTTGTCTAGTGCTGCTGCCTGTTGAGTGCATATTTTGTGAAAAAGAATAAATATAGGGGCATGCGAAATGTTTGAAAGATAGCTGGCTCATGGATAAATTTTGTAATGAATCAACTGCATTGACTCTCTACAAGCTCGCTACTTTTGCCCATGAATGGTTTTCTTTTTTCCTCTTGTTTTCTTTTCCAAAATCTCTCATGTAGAGCTCGTGACTCATTCAATGGGCGAAATGAAATAACAAGTCTAACTGAGGGGTTTTGCGCAAAAATGTAGAAAAAGTTGGAAGGCTAAGTGCAGAAAAACTGTCAATTTGTGGATTGTGGCATTTTAAGTGAAAAATATGCATTTTTTTTTTTCCAAAAAAGTATGGATGTCCGTTCAAAAATAACCTACCTGATCAATTTTGACACGTTATGGTGGCTCAAAGCAGTTTATCTTGTAAAATACTGATTTGCAGCTTGTCAAAGAGGGGTGTGATGAAGACTAATAAGCTGGAAGCTGCTATTTTCTTTTGGCAGGGCTCTGAGGGATTGGTAGAGCACAGCAGAGAGGAGTCTCGTTCACGAAAAATTGAGGACTCACTCAATAGAGCTACTGGTTCTGACATTAAGCCTTCTGGATCAAAGGCTGATTCTAAACGTTCTAAACAGTAAGAATTTTTTTCGCTTAACACTCTGCGGCCACTGGGGTTTATCATACAACTTTAGTTTAATATCTCTCTATTAGAAGTTATCTTGAAATCTCATCAAGCTTGATATTCGAACTTTGTGGTAGTAAATTTTTTGAATTTCTTCACCTTATCTGTGGGTCATGTCAGATATGTTTGTTAGGACAATAAGCTTGAGATTTTTAGACACGAATGTGCAGGCACAATGCTCATCGGTCGAGGGTAAGGAAACTTCAATACATATCTCATTTGGAAAGGACTCTTCAAATTTTGAAGGTAAAGCATCTTGCATAAAGGAGAAAAAAAAAAGTTAAAGAAAAAAGGATAATGTATAATCTGCACCAGTTTTGAGTAGTTACAGAAAGATGCAGGAATCTTCAAAATAATTTCAAACATTCACCTCACATCTATAGAGATATTAGAACTAACTTTGTAATTTCTGAACTTTTTTGGGTGTCTTGTGTAAATACTACAAACCTCATGGTATCTCTGTAATACAGTCCAGTTAAAAAAAAACTAACTTAAAACTTGCCCGCTTTATTGATGTTCCCCATTTAACAGGCAGAAGGATCACAATTCTCTGCCGAGCTCGAATTCCTTGAGCAGCAAAATATGTTACTGACAATGGAAAATCGAGCCCTTAGGCAGCGGCTAGAGAGCATTTCTCATGAGCAGCTTATCAAACAATGTAACCATATATTGCTTTCCTCATTTTCCTGCTTTTATTTGTTCCAATGCCAATATTGAATACTCAAATTTTTACTAATCTGAACATGAAAGTAATTTACATTTACTGCTTCACATATAGAAGCTAAACAGTTAATCCTGTCGACTAAACATTTAATATGCAGAATCGTAAGTAGAAACTGGAGAATAATAAAAATGCACAACTTTTTTTTTTTCGAAAACATCTTGAATCTTTCAAAATGTTTGTTTGCAGGGGAACAAGGAATGCTAGAGAGAGAAATGGGGAGGCTGCAAACTCTTTACCACATGCAAAAGCAACAGCAGATGGAAGTGCAAAATCCACTGCACCACAAACACCGTCGTAATAGAAGTAAAGAAAACTTTGATTATCAAATGTACAATGGCCCTGTCAAGAACAAGGATGACATGGCGAGCCCCAGCAGAGGTTCGGTTTAATGGTCATTTTCGGGCTTTTATGTTACGAAAAAATCCCAAGTGCTACCAAATTCACCAACAGAAACCCGACCAAATTCTCTTCGCCTTTTTTTTTTTCTC